GGGGTTGTTTTAGTTGTTTGCGTGTTTTTTTTCCCATTTTATTTTGGGTTTTCTTGTTTTAATTAATTTTGTTTTTGTTTCATTTTGTTATTAGGAGTCTTATTAGGGTTGGTTGTCATCCTATATAAACTTATTTTTCGTTTTGGATGTTATTCAATAAATTATCCAGTTTTTACTTCAGATTTTGCAGTTTAAGTTTCTGGATTGAGACTTATGTTATCAGTTCTAAAAGTTTAGTTGTGTGTTAGCCTTGTTTATCACACTAACTCGCTGTGTCAGTTGGTATCAGAGCAGGCAAAATTCATCTGATCTAATGGCAGGTGATGTAGTTATAAGAGGCGACGGTTCTTATGACCAAGATCAGGGAGCTGAGACCTCGCAAGGGGTGGCGTTGAGGGCTTTGGAGCAACGAATCGATCTTAGATTCTAGTGTTTGGAATGACGTTTTGAATGACACTTTGAAGAAATTGTAGATCGACTTGATGCTTTGAGCGTAGATGCCAACAGAAATAGGAATGACGAAAGGCAACATACCGAGGATGATGCCGCTCACGAACGGCCTATTGGCAAACTTGTTTTTGCAAATAGACGTAGATAGCCAATTTATGTGGAAGAGTCAAACGAAGAAGATGGTTATTATGAAGAACTTGAAAGGAACATGGGGTATGGCAGAAATCAGTATGGTGACAGAGACTCCAACGAATTCATATTAAAGGTAGATATCCCTTGCTTTAGAGGAAATTTAGATATTGAGGAATTTTTGGATTGGATGGCAGAAGTAGATAGGTTTTTTGAATATATGGAGATCCTAGAGGGGAGAAAGGTGAAACTGGTCACATGTAGGTTGAAGGGAGGAGCTTCTACATGGTGAGACAGATTATAGACAAGAAGATTTCGTGAAGGGAGAGCACCAGTTAGAACATGGTATAGAGAGAAATAGTTGTTACAAAAGGATTTTCTTCCTCCTGATTATGAACAGATCTTGTTCTAGTAGTACCAGAGATGTCATCAAGGACATAAATCTGTGCATGAATATACCGCAGAGTTTATGAGGTTGGCGGAAAGGAATGACTTGCGGAGAGACGTGACAAAGTCTGTGCAGCGGTGTTACATATGCCAAACTGCCAAGGGGTAATCCCAAAACATTGGTTTATATATGCCTTTACTAGTTCCAGAAAATATTTGGGAAGATTTATCTATGGATTTTGTGCTTGGATTGCCTCGGACACAAAGAGGCATAGATTCTGTTTTTGTTGTGGTTGACAGGTTTTCTAAGATGGCGCATTTTATTCCTTGTAGGAAGACATCAGACACAAACAGAATAGCCAAATTGTTTTTCAAAGAGGTTGTCTGTCTGCATGGAGTGCCTAAATTTATTACTTCTGATCGAGACAACAAATTCCTTGGCCATTTGTGGAGAACATTGTGGAAGAAGTGTGATTCATCTTTGAATTACAGCAGCATTGCTCATCCACAAACCAACAGCCAAACTGAAGTTGCAAACAGAACTCTCGGCAATTTGATTTGAAGTATTTGTGGCAATAAACCAAAACAGTGGGATGTAGCTTTATCACAAGATGAATTTGCCTACAACAGCGCTACTCATAGCGCCACTGGAAAGTCTCATTTTCTATTGTGTACACCAAGCCCCTGCAACATGCTTTCGACTTGATCAAACTGCCGAAAGTTCTTGGTGTTAGTGCAGTTGCAGAAATATAGCTACTTAGTGGCAAGATGTTCAAACAGAGGTGAAGCAAAAGTTAGAGCAAGCTAATACCAAGTACAAGAAAGCTGCAGACCAACATTGCAGAAAACATATTTTTGAAGTTGGTGATCGGGTTATAGTGTTTCTTTGAAAGGAAAGGTTTCCAGTAGGGACTAATAATAAGCTATAGCCTTAGAGGTATGGGCGTTACAAGATTTTGCAAAAGATCAATGACAACGCCTACATTGTGAATCTACCAGACACAATGGGAATTTCTAAGACGTTTAACGTGGTGGATATTTACCCATTTGACTATTCTAACGAACCCTTGTATCTCGATGCCTAACTTAACTCGAGGTCAAGTTTTTCTCAAGTGGAGGGGACTAACGTAGAACGTCTAGCAGATGAATTTATGGAGCGGGTTGAACGTCAAAAGTCCATGCGTAAAGCCCAAAAGTACTAAATGAGCATGCCTCATTCAAACAACCATAACTTTTGATCAGGGAAGAGTTACGGGGCCCGTAAGATACTAGTGAAAAGCTTATTTCGAGCCCGTCGACATGCCAATCCACTGGTCGTTTTTGAGGTCAAAATCCACCATTTTGGCATGTTTCGGGGCTGTTTTAGTTGTTTGCGCGTTTTTATCTTATTTTATTTCAGGTTTTCTTGTTTTAATTAATTTAGTTTTTGTTTCCTTTTGTTATTAGGAGTTTCATTAGGGTTGCTTGTCATCCTATATAAACTTATTTTTCGTTTTGGATGTCATTCAATAAATTATTCAGATTTTGCGGTTTAAGTTTCTGGATTGAGACTTGTGTTATCAATTCTAAAGGTGTAGTCTTGTGCTAGCCTTGTTTATTATGCTAACTCGCTGCGTCAAAAAAACATATGTCAACTAAGTTGTATTTATCTTTATTTATATATCTTTGTATTCACAGGATTACGTTAAATTAACTGGCACATGATGTAGAATGACAATTCTGCATATAAATCTACGTACAAACATTTTCAACAGTAAAATATGTTGTGGGCTTGGGATTTGCGATTAGGTTGCTGTTGTGAAATTTCCTCTTGAGCCAGCATTGAACATCCAAAATATGTTTCTGGGCTGAAGCCCCGAATTTCTTTTGTAGACCCAGCTTTGAGATGCGTCAAGATCTTCACGGCAGCCTTTGGACCGAGAGTGACTGTAGCTTAAAATCTGTCCCAGAATGAGAGGCCAATTAACAAATAATACTGGTACTGTATATCAATAATCAAGACAAACCATGCGACTGCAAAAGCTATTACTGCTGTGGCAAATGGACCATGGGTAGAAATTGTTAAGTTCGTTAGTTATTTCAGGGTTTGAGCATCAACGTTTATGATAAAGATCTTAACAGTTTTGAGGGGAAAATTTCGTGCAAAGTACTTAATGCAAGGTGGGTTATACCAAATTTCTGGCAGAAATCAAAGTTACTTGCCAACAGCAACTGCTATCATGTGGAACTGAAAAGACAATATAAATCAAATGCCATTGGTTATCATTATCATCTCTCATAGTAATAGTTATATAATGAGAAAAATATGTAAAATGGTCAATATTATCACTGGGCAAAAAGCACACTGAATCCAAACAATGAGTATTTTCTATTGCAAGCTCCTTGTTGAGAGTTTTGATTTACGCATTTGTTGAGAAGCAGCTGAGTTAGATAATATATCTGATGTGATGTGAATCATGTGATACATGCTATTTCGTAGAAGCTGATAGTGTCCACGGACTCTCTGTCCTTGTTAATGTTGAGTGAGTATCAGGGAAAGAAAGTGATGGTATCATGTGAGACGAAACAACGAAGAAGTTTCTTGTATTTTGGAACCTTCTACTTTCAGTCTTGTGAAAGCTTCGAAGAGCTAACGTCTACTCGATCGAGGAACGGGACACCTGCAACATTTTAGGAACAAACCAACATAGAATTCAGAAAAGTTTGGCATCCTTCATCAAGCCATTAGTTTAGCTTATTGTTCACTTGACCAGTCATGCTGGAGCTACCACTATTCTAAATCATTTCGGGCTCAAGTAAAACAAATATATGTCATGAATTTGAATGGTTTTGTTTGCACAGTAGTTCGATTTTCAAATTCACCCTTGATTCGAAGGAGGAAAAACCATAGTCATTTCACAAAATTGGATGAGCTGATATCTCCAAACTCTCTGAGTACAAAAAGGGGCGTGCTAAATTGAAATCACATGCAAGGAGATGTTATTGTCAAGGCATCTTCTACGAAGCCAACAAGAGAGAAGTGTATTAATTGTACCTGATCAAATAAGTGAAATGAACAAGATTGATGATTTCACAGGCTTAATAATTAAAACAATTTAATCTGAAATTAATTCATGACCCTTTTTAGAGAATCTAGTTAAATTTGCATCATGTAATTGGTTATTTAATTAGCTTAGTAGTATTCTAAAGAGTAAACGACTTTTTCCCACCTAAGGTTTGCCTTAATGACACTTTTTCATCCAAAAATTTCAAAATATCACTTTCCCACCCAAAGTTTATATTTTGTTAATACTCAAAATACACTTTATTTTCTTAGCCGACGTTCAACGAGTTACTATAAGTCGAAGTGAGAGGAGTTTTGTAAAGAAGAGATCCGAGGTTGGTGATGACGGAGAGAATTTTTACCTCTAAAATCAGTTTTGGATAGTAGCAGAATATTAACTTTAAGTGAAAAAAAGATATTTTAAAACTTTTTAGATGGGAAAGTGTGATTAAGGCAAACCTTTGGTGGGAAAAAGTCGTTTACTCTATTCTAAAATGTAACACCGAGTGTTACCGATAGTATGTTGTATATATATGTAATTAAACTGGTAAAATTTATAACTCTCCTATATATAATTATATTACAAGATGCATGCAATAAATACGGTAATTAGAGTGCAATTACACACAAAAAAATCCGTATCCCATAATAGAATATTAATGGCTTTACACTAACGTATAACAAGGGTTGTTGCTTGGACTGTTTTATGTTTTTGATGTGACATGATATATATAAATATATCAGAACAAAAACAAATGTGCAGTTAATTAGACCCACACAATGCGAGTACGTGGTCATATTGGCTCAAAAAATTGAAGGGAACGAAATGTGTATCAGACAATATCTATCCGATGGCTGCATTTCATTTGTCTGATTGGAATGAGAGAATCTGCGAGGAAAGTTCCTCTCTCACAACTCAATTTCTCATAATGCACATGACCGTTAGTAAGACGGTAGTCCAAAATATTTCTCTATATAAAGAGCAGTGGTAGTAATGTGGATATGCATACAAAGCAGAACTTAATAAAGAAGAAGCAGATCTAGTGCAAGTTAAGGAAAAAAGAAGAAAGAATTGAGGATGAGGATGGAAATAGAGGAAGTAAGCAGCTATGAGGCATTGCCACTTCTCTCACTGAATCATGTGTCTCTCATGTGTAGATCAGTGTGGGATTCAGTGCGGTTCTATGAAGATGTATTGGGCTTTGTTCTCATCAAACGCCCTTCTTCTTTCAATTTTAATGGAGCTTGGTTCGCTTTCCAATCTCTTATCTCTGCTTGTTATATTATCTTACATAACTTCATGCATATTAATTGATCAATCTGTTTTCTTTAATGCAGGTTGTACAACTATGGTATTGGGATACACTTGATCGAGAACCCGTCAATTGATGACTTCGACACCATCAATGAACCACGACCGATTAATCCTAAGGATAACCACATATCCTTCCAAGTAAGATGCAAATTCAGTTTTTGAAACTTAAATAGCATACTTGTTTATTAAAACTAGAGTTAAATTTGAATTTGAATTTGGAACAGTGCACGGATGTTGGGCTGGTGAAGAGGAGGCTGGAAGAAATGGGAATGAGATATGTGACAGCAGTGGTAGAAGACGATGGGGTGAAGGTTGATCAAGTGTTCTTCCATGACCCAGATGGGTACATGGTGGAGTTATGCAACTGTGAGAACATTCCAATTCTGCCACTGTCTTCCTGCTCATTCAAGCCCAGAATGGGGAGTTTCAAGAGACAAGCACCAAACAACTGTGGATTTATGGAGAATGTGATGATGGAGAGCCTCAGCATGGACATGATGAACTTCTCATTTTGAGGTTGCAAGATGTGACCCATTTCATTTTGTTTAAATTAAAAGTATATGTTATTTTGAAATGTGAATTTGTATGTTATGTTGCCAATGCAATTGTACTAAAGATCTTGTAAGGTCTTGTACATTGGTTTGATGCAGAGTCTGTCTATGGTACTTTGCAATAAATTGTGAAAATGAGTTGACTTGTATGGTCTATCCTATCTTCTTCTCTACTGTAATTTATATGCCTTTCAATCAACAAACTAAATATATATGTATAAAAATAAGTAATATATATACCTATATCTATTGATAAGTGTTATCTGACAAGTAACAAGGCTTGGGGCCTTCCGCAGGGCACATTATATCAAGGGTCAGTTTATGCATATCTCAATTAATCCTCAAGGGTTTTGGAATTATCAGTTGAGTAAGAGTTTTAGTGCTTATCCGTATAAACAATCTAGGAGACTCGAACTCAAGATCTCTTGAGTAATACACCTAAGACCACTCAATCATCCAGAGATAGTTTGGATCGATTTACTTTAATAAAATGATATATATCGCAACTACTGACTAACTAAATATGGTTTCAACTTATAATTAATCATTCTAAATTAATGACCATATGGGACTGGGATATGATCAATAAATCAAATAAAGAAGCACCCTTAATCAATGATGTTACTAATTATACATGCAGCTTAACTTAAACAATGTATACCGTCCATTCAAATATTCTCTCACTAAAAACAGAAAGATAAAATTAACACTCATATAAACAATGCATTTTCTTAAACGGATCGAATAATAGACACCTCCCGATTGTCTAATCCTTCAGGGATGTCACGTCTCGGTCTCATAATGTGCCACTCAAATTGATGTTTATTGTTTAGGCCCGGTTTTGTCTCTCTTACTATTCAACTTTAATTATAGCCAAATATATCAATCTCAATCTGTTGATGCAAGGACATTTATAACAATTTACATCAAATAGAGCACATGATTGATAATACTAGAATCACGTAATAATTTATATATAATCTTAATGGATCAACGGATAGGAGTAATATGATAATAAATATGCAAAAATTAAACATAAAAAAATAATAATAACGAATAAGACTTTTTAAAGAGTTCACTGCTATTATAGAAAATTTATGCACTATTATGTTATAAGTGTATGTATTAGTTGTTGATTTACAAATAGTTAAAATAGGGAAGTTGCACAATCATCGAGCTTGATTATAGAATCCATATCCCGAGATATTTGCACGTCAATTGGAGATTTATCCGTTTCGGTTTTTGCACAACAGAATCAATTTCAGCATTTTTTTTTTTAACTTCTTTTTTAATTTATAAGAATCTGCACTTCACTTCAAAAAAATGACAATGTGAGGTCATCTAAAATAAGTTTCTTTGATTTATGATGTGTGTTATATTTAATTTTTTTCCTCTACAAATTTAACTATAAGGATAGTTTTACTTTATTATAATTTTGCTGGTTATATTTTTTTTACAAAAATCAAAGAAAAAACAGGAAGAATTTAAATATTATGAGCTATGTCCATAACATAAAAAAAATAAAAAGTACATCTTTTCTCTTTTTTCTTTTGTAAGAAGGGAAAAAAACAAAAAAACGTACACAGTGGAGATGCTTTTTCGTGGCGAGCCACAATAAAGCAAGACTGACCAAAAGCTTGTGGCCACAGAGTAATCAAAGTGAAGACAAACAAGGCCGCCCTAATTTCCTTTCTCACTACGCTCGCACATTGCCCTTCAAAGAATCTTCCCAAGCACCGGCCCCCCGTTCTAAGACCAAGACACGTTCCCTATCTCTACTCCTAGTCTGTAATTGTCTATCGTCATCTGAAACATAACATGATCAGATAGAAGTAAAGGCTGTTATGTGGACTGGGTAAGTGGGTCTTCTGGTGGTTGGTTCCTCATATATGTTATAAAGATGGTGTTTGGTTGTTCAAGTAGAGAAATGAGAATAGTGTAACTAGGTAATGAGTCATGCGAACTCTTGTGACGGTTGTGATTGTGATCCTGGCCTTTTCTGCCCTGGAGATGCCGTCTTTGTGGCGTGCCGACCAGATGGGAGCTTTACTTCACACTCAGCTCCCGTTCATTCATTGCATTTGACTGGAGCTTGCTTCGTTATGTTCATTTTTCATGTTGAGTTTTTTACGTGTCATGAGTTTGGAGAAAATATGTTGGTTTTCGGGTAAAATTGCATGTGGGATTCTGAGTTTTTACATTGGTCGCAGGTACACATGTGTGATAATGTAGCCAGTAGACATATAAGACTTGGCCTGGAAAGTCCCAGTGATGTTGCCCGCTGCGGCATATGTGAAGTTTCATCTGGTACGTTAAGTCCAGTGATGTTACCCGCTGCGGCATATGTGAAGTTTCATCTGGTACGTACGCTAGTCCCTTTCTTTCTGTTTTCCAATTACAGAAAATTTTACATCATATATATTACTTGTGTTTTACTGAGGAGTTGCGTAGTTATGTGTCTCCTCTAAACATATAAGTAGCTTTCTTTACTGTAAGATACATGGAATTTGCCTTTGTTTGGAATGTGACATGGTTGTTCATAGGGGTCAAGCGAACTCACGCAAGGTTTTCTCTTTGAGGCAGAGGATACAGGTTGGTTTCTTCCCTCTTAATATATAGAGAGATAGAGTGACTGAGGCTCTAGTGCGGACTCTCGGACTTACATAAAAGAATTTCATATTTACATTAACCTCTCTTTCACATCAGATTGTCAGAATACATCTCAAGATCAAAACCGTTTCTGGGAGATTCAGAAGGTTGCAAAAGCTTGTATGCATAACGAAATCAATTGAGCACCATGATATGGATTTATAACCAAAAACAAATCCGAAAAGCTTTTCACTCCCAAACATAAACAAGAACGCGTAAGCAAATCGTGTAGTGAAGAGAGAGTAAAAAGATGCACTGATCTGTAGTTTTGAATACATGATTGAAATGATGGTGTAGACATTTACAGGCATTTAAGTTTAGTAAGAAATAGAAAGAGACAGGTGAAGAAATTGGTTAAGTCGGCCGTCCGGGAGTCCACACTAGACCCTCTCTCTCTCTCCCTCTTCTCCTCTCTCCTCTCTCTCTCTCTATATATTATATTATATATATATATATATATATATATATTATTAATTACTATATAAAACCCTTATAATAATTGATACGGCACTCGTCTTTTTGCAGTTTCCTGAGAAACTTCATATTTTTGAGGCCACAGCTTCACAAACCACGGATCAAGCTGAGAAGTCAAGTGAACAAACTTTGTCACTGCCACTCACTCTGGCAGGGCAGCGACAAAATCACAAGGTCCTTCCCGTTCCCAAGGCAGCGGCTAGCTCCAGTGGTCAAACCAGGAAGGTTAAGAAAATGATAGATTTGAATAGGAAGCCTCGCAACCGCAAGCCACCTCAAAAAAATAAGGTTAATTGTTTGTCCATAACTCCATATAACTGGAGTGATTCTTTATTCTTTATATATATTTTTTTTTTTCCTTTTTATTTTGCTATGCTCTTCTGGAGGTTAGGTCTTGGTGCCCAGAAGAAATGGGATTGCTTCAATCATATTACTTAGCTTTAGAACCCACATATTTTTGAAATAACTAAGGAGCTTTAGGAAAAATAATAATAATAACCACACACAAATATCAAATTACTAAAGAGAAAGAAAACGGGCTTAATTTATCCTAATTCACCCAAAACCGGACTACGTCTAAAAGAGTAAATATTGTTCTTCTTTTTGCAGACCCTAATCGTATAAATTTGGCACATAATATCATATGAAGAGCCAATGTTTGTTCTTCCTTTTGCAGAGGCTTACATGAATCTGGAAGCAGAGTTGCTGCAGTATTGTAGTTATGGGGAGGGACAGTTCCCTTCTCTCTTATGTTTAAAAAAGCTAAGTTTATATTAATCTAAGCATTATTTTCTTTCCACCTTGTTCTAAGATCCTAAATCTTGAATGTTTAAATACATTATTTGGTCTCTTATGCTTAAATACATTATTTGCAGTGAAGAATAACTTGAAATGAGTTGTAAATTCATTCCCTTTCTAAAGTTTGATCCATACAAGATGCTAATTAAAAGGTTTAAGATTTAATTAATGTATGTGAATATTAATTATCAAACATATGTGACATTTGTCCCAATCATAAGGTTTGAGTTCTCATTACAAACTAAAAGTTAGAGATATAAAGAAAATTAAAAAAAAAATCCATTTTTCTTGATGTCCAAACAAATGTGACCCAAGCCTTTTCTTCGAAGAAAAGCAAAGACATGCTTCCAAGAAAATAAAACGAGAACCACAAAACTACAAGAATTCCTAAAAGAATTTCAACCCACACTTTCTTTAGTCTTGTCACAAAATTTATTACACTAATATATATAAATCTTGTGTGCTTAAAAATTTAAGGAGTTAATTTCGTATTACTAAGGTCGTTCCAATGCCTTATGAGTTACCTTGCCACGCCACTATTCTAATTCTTCTATATCCTGGGCGTGATCTCGTCAAATCGGTCATGAATCTAGGTTTTTTTTTTTTAATGATCGAGGTGTTCGGGTCAGTTTACGCGTACGTTAATTAATTATCGGGGTCCAACCTAATATTCTAAGGTAAATCACAAATGTGATATCCTAAGGTTCGAACCTAGGAAATTAATGAATGGAACAAACCTTCTTAACCATCAGGTTAATCCCTTGGATCAACCCATTGGGTATTCTATGGTAAGGGGCATTTCAAATCGAATGGATTTAGGTGGCAACATGTGTGTTTAAAATTTAAATGGTGGTCTGATTGTCTCAATTAAGAGCATATCATGAATGAATTTTGGTCATTGAAGTAATGACTAAGATTTGGGAAATTTACTTAGTTGTAATGGTGATGTTTTCTAGCATATAATACAGTAATACCTCTCCATAGTAATATTTTATATAGGAATAATCTCTATATAATTATAAAAAAATCTTCAATTATATGAATTTATAAATATATTTATAATTTAAAGTCATTCAATTATATTAAAACACATCATTTGAATAGATAAGTTTGTATATGTAATATTCTTTATAGTTTAGAGTTTCTAAAATTAAAAAATTTGGGTGTATTTGTCAATTTTAAAAGGTGTTACAAGTGAAGGCATCTTAAATTTAGTGGGTGAGTGAATAATACATTACCTTATCTTTGTATCTTATCATGGATAGAACAAAGAAGAGTTAATGCCAAACAAGGGTGACTATTCCTCACCTCCCCTGAGGTTTGAATTTTCTTAATGACACCCCAAAAGTTTAATATAGTGTCCTTCAAAAGTTTAATATAGTTTCCTAACACTAACAGAAACCGTTAGGTTCACTAAATTTTATAAAAAAATTACTATAAACCTCCCTATATACACCTACATTAAAGCCCATCAAATATTTGAAATTATTCTCAACCCCCTATCAACAGAACCAAGTTACTCTCAACTTTAAAACTAATTAAACAACTTATTCACTCCTAATTCCACTAAAATAAAAAATTAAAAAATACAATTTAATTTTAATGTTTACAAATAAAATTAGTAGATACAATTATAGCATAGGGGGTTTTTGAAATATCTGTACACTTAGGGGGTTTAAAGATCTTTTCCTTGACGGATTTTGTTAGAATATGGTGAATTGGCCCGATAGGGGAAGGTTTGAGAGAATTATTGAAATCTGAAGGGAGGTGAGGAATACTATATTAAACTTTTAGGGTGTCATTTGAAAACGAAAACCTCAGGGGAGATTAGGGATAATAACCCTAAAAAAACAAAAAACAGAAAACCCAGCTCTTTAAGTAAACTAAACTTAAAGTACAAACAAGAAGCGGTGAATTATCTACCGAGTGAAAATAGAAAAAACCGACTTGGCGTTCTGCGGTGAGAAAGAAGAGTGAATGGAAATGACGACGTTGACGATGGTGTTGTTCTTGTTGTCGATGCTGTGGAGTGTCTCGCATGGATTTGTGCCACCACGGACCTTTCGTAACAGCTTGTCTAGGTCTGGCAGCAACAACTACTTGACCACCGAAGAACTCTGGTTCAATCAGACTCTCGATCATTTCTCTCCTTATGTATTCCCTCTTTATCATCCTTCTACTATAATTTTCTGCATTTATCTTCATATATGATAGGTTGAATTAATTTTATAGTTCCATATTGATATCTCCAATTTTTTAGTGTAATTTTTTTTTTTTTATTAGCAATGACGATAATGAAACTTAATTACCTTATTCTTTTTAGAATAAATGAAGTATCACAAATTCACAAGCTGCTTCTAAAACTACGTGATCAAATTCGTGTGCAATTTTGTGATTGTGCCTTTGAAGTTGAATTTTTATAAGGTTTCTTTTTATTGAAGTGTTGTTGCAAATTTCGCTTAAATGGAACTTTTAATTGCAGGATCACCGTCAATTTGAGCAGAGATATTATGAATTCCTTGACTACTTCAGACCTGCAGAGAATGGTCCTATTTTTTTGAAAATCTGTGGTGAATCTGCGTGCAATGGTATAACTAATGACTATATCAGTGTAAGTTTCAGCTCTTATCCTTAATTTCAATTTAAAGCTGAATTTATGGTAAATAGTCTTAAGCAGGCTAGTTCATCAATACCTGGTTCAGTGTGGTATCCTTAAGGTCCTAGTTAAAGTGGTGTCAAGCATATTGTTTGGCACCAAATCCAAGGTTCGATTCCTCAATGCCTTCTAACAGCCTTCTAAAGGTGAAAAGTCACAGGTGTCCTGTGCCCAATAGATTGTGGGGCTCTGTATTGACTTCAGTTTTAAAACTCAGATTTATGGCTTATCAAAAAATAAATAAATTTTATCAAGGTTAGGACAAAAAGGTTCTAATACAGTGCAGTGCAGTTTGTATCACTATTGAATTGTTTTTTGTATTATATTTAAAAGAAAGAGTGAAGTTTTGGTTGTCTTTAAGTTGACAAATGTGACTGTTCGACTCAATAAGTTCTTTGTGGTTCATTGTACAACTGAAACTCAATTGTTCTTGTGAATTAGGTATTACTAGTTTGATGAAAAAAAATTATAAACCATCTACCATTCTACAGGTTTTGGCAAAGAAGTTTGGAGCAGCTGTTGTTTCACTTGAGCATCGTTACTATGGCAAGAGTTCACCCTTTAAATCACTTTCAACAGAAAATTTAAGATATCTTTCATCTAAGCAGGCACTCTTTGACTTGGCTGTATTCCGTCAGCGTTACCAGGTAATTACTATATAATTTCTGAACTTGATTTCCTAGTCTACTTCAGATGATATCCACGTACAATGAAGCTCAAATCTGTTAATGAATATGGATATAAATTTCAATAAAATTTAATAGTTTGTTATCAATTTGTATGTTGGGAAGTTATATTTTTATGTTTTTTGGCATGTTTTCTTGTGTATGTCTACATATAACAACACAAACAAAGATGTGCATCTGAAATTTTCCATGCCTGAGGATTTTTGCCCTATGCTGTATATATTTTCATTTCTGCTTGAGTTTGCAAGTTGTCTGTGGAACAAGAGGTAGAGATCTGTTTATCTTTCTTTCTGTTGCTAATTCTTATTACATTTAAGACTTCATTTGTTAAGTAGTTTTCGTTGTATATTTGGTGAATTTCACAGCCATTATGTATCTCAAATCTTTCACAAAGAATTTATATTATCTTTATTTCTACCAAGCTCATATTTTTATGTGACAATACTAATTTTTGTAGGAATCTTTAAACCTGAAGCACAATAGAGAAAGTACTGAGAATCCATGGTTTGTTTTTGGTGTCTCATACTCTGGAGCTCTTAGTGCATGGTTTCGGCTTAAGTTCCCCCATCTAACATGTGGAAGTCTGGCAAGTTCTGCAGTTGTACTTGCTGTGTACAACTTCACTGAATTTGATCAGCAGGTAGAGAGAATTTTAATTTGATGAATCCGTGCTTATTGAAAAGATATATTTTTTTAAATCTGTACTTGACTGTTTTATTTTTAAGTTTAAATCTTGCAGAATTTTTTTTTTTTTTTTTTTTGGTCTTTTGAGCTTAAGTTTTGTTTGAATATTTCTCCTAATTTTGCAAATCTTGCCGTTACCTTTCAATCTTATTGTCTTTGTACAGATTGGTGAATCAGCTGGTGCTGAATGTAAAGCTGCACTACAAGAAACTACTAAACTTGTAGAGCAAAGGCTTGCATCAAATGGAAAAGCATTGAAGAAATTGTTCAATGCAGGCGAGGTTTGATTTTCTTTCCTTGCTGTGGTTCATTGATATGTACCTGAAACTCAAGTCAAGTGCAAAGCAATGAAGAAACTTTTACTGCTTATTATGGATGCTGAACGTTTTGGTTATGTTTGCAGCTGGAGATTGATGGCGATTTCCTTTATTTTCTGGCAGATGCAGCAGTTACTGCGGTGAGTGTGGTTTTTTATTATGTTCTGTTGCTTGATATTTTCACATTAATGATCTTCAAGTTAAACTTTTCAGTTTCAATACGGAAATCCAGATACACTATGTACCCCCCTTGTTGAAGCTAAGAATGCTGGAGAGGATTTAGTGGTATTGCTTCTCTTTCTTGCCATTTATCTCTTTTTATTGCTTGAGATAATCCAAACAGCTTTTGCTCATTCACTTATAACACCACTGAGATTTTTTATTTATTGGCCATTTGTAATAATCAGTTCTATGGTTGAGTTGAAATTGGTATCTGGTAAAAGATAAAGTATGAGACATAGTCATTACATCCATCAAGTCCTTTGTGCGGCCCAAAAAAAATGATGGTTGAGAGCATCCAGTTTAAGGAATAGATTGATCATGCAGTGGATTGATTTATTTGTCTTTATCATTAGTCTTTAAGTTATGCAGTTAACAGGAAAAGAAAATTAAAAATAAAGAAAAAAATATGCTAACGTATTATGCACACAAACATGTAGCATATTTTGCTGCTTCACTTGTAGATAGGTAACTAGGAGCTTCACCTGTCAAAAGTTTTCATTTACCACATATGCTATTGAGTTTGTGCTTTAGCACTTGCACTTAATGAGTGGATATATTCAGTAGGCCTTAGGCTTAGAGTCCTTACTAAGCAATGGAGAAAAAAGATACAGGATTCCTGATTAGTAGTTCTTTTTATAGGTTTATATTACTACTGTTATCATGTTCATGTTGTATAATTCTGAAACACAGTAGAGCTCATGTTTAATTGGCAAATTTAGATTCCTTTATCATCTTTCTCTAACTTTTAATATAATTTTAAGGTTTTCTTTTTTCCTCTCTAATGCAGGATGCCTATGCCAAATATATTAAAGGCTATTACCTCGGGAAGTTTGGTGTCAGTGTTCAGACATATAATCAGAAGCACCTGAAAAATGCGGCTGTTAGTGAAGGGAGTGGTGATCGGTTGTGGTGGTTTCAAGTTTGTACAGAAGTTGCATTCTTTCAAGTAGCACCTTCAAATGATAGCATTCGCTCTTCAAAAGTGGATACAAGGTGTGTCGTTAATTAGTAAATTTTGTTATGTTTATTCNACTTGCTGTGTACAACTTCACTGAATTTGATCAGCAGGTAGAGAGAATTTTAATTTGATGAATCCTTGCTTATTGAAAAGATATATTTTTTTAAATCTGTACTTGACTGTTTTATTTTTAAGTTTAAATCTTGCAGAATTTTTTTTTTTTTTTTTTTTGGTCTTTTGAGCTTAAGTTTTGTTTGAATATTTCTCCTAATTTTGCAAATCTTGCCGTTACCTTTCAATCTTATTGTCTTTGTACAGATTGGTGAATCAGCTGGTGCTGAATGTAAAGCTGCACTACAAGAAACTACTAAACTTGTAGAGCAAAGGCTTGCATCAAATGGAAAAGCATTGAAGAAATTGTTCAATGCAGGCGAGGTTTGATTTTCTTTCCTTGCTGTGGTTCATTGATATGTACCTGAAACTCAAGTCAAGTGCAAAGCAATGAAGAAACTTTTACTGCTTATTATGGATGCTGAACGTTTTGGTTATGTTTGCAGCTGGAGATTGATGGCGATTTCCTTTATTTTCTGGCAGATGCAGCAGTTACTGCGGTGAGTGTGGTTTTTTATTATGTTCTGTTGCTTGATATTTTCACATTAATGATCTTCAAGTTAAACTTTTCAGTTTCAATACGGAAATCCAGATACACTATGTACCCCCCTTGTTGAAGCTAAGAATGCTGGAGAGGATTTAGTGGTATTGCTTCTCTTTCTTGCCATTTATCTCTTTTTATTGCTTGAGATAATCCAAACAGCTTTTGCTCATTCACTTATAACACCACTGAGATTTTTTATTTATTGGCCATTTGTAATAATCAGTTCTATGGTTGAGTTGAAATTGGTATCTGGTAAAAGATAAAGTATGAGACATAGTCATTACATCCATCAAGTCCTTTGTGCGGCCCAAAAAAAATGATGGTTGAGAGCATCCAGTTTAAGGAATAGATTGATCATGCAGTGGATTGATTTATTTGTCTTTATCATTAGTCTTTAAGTTATGCAGTTAACAGGAAAAGAAAATTAAAAATAAAGAAAAAAATATGCTAACGTATTATGCACACAAACATGTAGCATATTTTGCTGCTTCACTTGTAGATAGGTAACTAGGAGCTTCACCTGTCAAAAGTTTTCATTTACCACATATGCTATTGAGTTTGTGCTTTAGCACTTGCACTTAATGAGTGGATATATTCAGTAGGCCTTAGGCTTAGAGTCCTTACTAAGCAATGGAGAAAAAAGATACAGGATTCCTGATTAGTAGTTCTTTTTATAGGTTTATATTACTACTGTTATCATGTTCATGTTGTATAATTCTGAAACACAGTAGAGCTCATGTTTAATTGGCAAATTTAGATTCCTTTATCATCTTTCTCTAACTTTTAATATAATTCTAAGGTTTTCTTTTTTCCTCTCTAATGCAGGATGCCTATGCCAAGTATATTAAAGACTATTACCTCGGGAAGTTTGGTGTCAGTGTTCAGACATATAATCAGAAGCACCTGAAAAATCCTGCTGTTAGTGAAGGGAGTGGTGATCGGTTGTGGTGGTTTCAAGTTTGTACAGAAGTTGCATACTTTCAAGTAGCACCTTCAAATGATAGCATTCGCTCTTCAAAAGTGGATACAAGGTGTGTCGTTAATTAGTAAATTTTGTTATGTTTATTCTATTATACACTATTTATGTGTAAATACTTTACATGGTTTAATCAAATCACCAAAACGCACAAAAAATTTGGAATGTCCTCTCATTTCTTTCCCTTGAGTTATCTTTTCTACTTACCTGATTACACAAATTGTTCCTCTTATGTGGCAGATACCATTTGGACCTTTGCAAGAATGTCTTTGGAGAGGGCATCTATCCTGATGTTGAGATGACAAATATATACTATGGAGGCACAGAAATTGCTGGTCTAGACACTTAACCTTCTAATCTCTGTGTTGGATTGTCAAGCAGAAACTTGTTTTTCTTTCCTTTTTATCTTCATTCATAGTTCAATGTTCTCATCAAATGGGTATGCAGGTTCAAAAATTATTTTCACAAATGGCTCACAGGATCCCTGGCGTCATGCCTCCAAACAAATTTCATCTCCAGATAGTAAGTTGCTAGTTATTTTGAAGAGAACCCAGTCAAAGAAAGCTAAGGGGAAAATAAAAATAGGTTCATTAGTAATTTTATATATTTCCTGAGTTTGACAATACACATAACTACATGGTGTTGAGAACATTAGATGTCAAGGGCTTCTATTTAGGTCACTCTGGTCCATCTTACCACTAATTTTGAAATTTAATGGGCACAAACATTTTGTGTTGATCCATATTAAGCTTGTGTCATCTACTTCTTCATAAAAGTGTCTGTTCTGTGGTAATGTGGATTCTCTTCATCATTTCTAAACCACCTCTTTAAGGTGTGATTATTTCCCCTTATCTTTGGGGTGATATAGCAAATTTAATTATTTATATGTTGATAATCCATGTTGGTATAATGTTCGGTCAATGAGATAAGGACCTTGCTATGGAGCATTACTATGCAATGTCCTCATTCTTGGATAACTAACATCCACCCTTTTTTTTTTTCCTTTTTTATGTCTTTTGTACTCTTCTACTAAGATGTGTTCATTTGAACTGTGCAGTGCCTTCATATGTCATCACTTGTCATAATTGTGGCCATGGAACTGATATGAGAGGATGTCCCCAGTCTCCCCTAAGCATTGAAGGTATTTACAGTTCATTATTGACTTTTTTGTTGCTTCAACCTCTAGTTCTAGATCAAATTTTAAAAACACTTGAACATGAGAAGTTTGCCATAGGATTACTTGAATGTATACATTAAGATTCCAAATAGTCATGTCTGGTCAGTATGGTACTTGATCTGTTTAAAACCACCTTCTACGAAAGCACTGAAGGTCGCTGCCCGGTAGAACTTAAATATAAAAAGATACATTCTTTTGTTCAATTCCTTTGTAGTTTTGGACTTTTAGTATTGCTTAAAAAACATACACGGGCATGGAGATGGAACATGACCTAAACCTGGAATTTTCTATATAGGAGGAAATAGCCAATTTGAAAACAGCGTTCCAGAAGTGTCTAAGATAGTATCTTCTGCTACTAGCTTTTCTAGAAGCAGACTAAGCAGTCATAGTAACGAAATTTTTTTTTGAACTGGTTTTTCATCATGTTATAAGGATTAATAAAAGCCATATACCTCTGAGAATGTGATAACATAAAATTTTGACAGCAGTTTGTAAGGTTTATGCTTGTTATAGCCTTCCACCAACTATGCATGGATATAAATGATTGTAACTCATAAATTTGTTCCTTAGTATTTGGTGCTGAATTTGTTATAATAGTCAATCTGGTGTCCTTTCCATTTCAGGTAATGCCCAGAACTGCAGCTCCCCTGATGCAGTTCACAAAGTAAGGCAGCATATCATAGAGAACATTGATTTGTGGCTGTCTCAGTGCAAAGAAACAGGTAGGAGTTATATGTGATGTCTTTATGACAGATAAATAGATATAATTATTCTGTTGACTGATTCAGATAGCATGCATTTCCATCTCAACAGATATTTAATTGCTGATTCATCAGTAGGCATCTTGTGTTGTATATATTATACACGTATGTCAAACATTACTGTTAGAGACTTTGAATGATACAACTCTTTTCGAGCTCCTTAGTAAATTTCTCTCTAAAGTGATAGTCTGAATTGATTGTAAATATCATATAAATTATGTGATGATGTGATAAGTAATATGAGAACATTACACTGAGTTATCGCATCATTTGATTTACTTATTGTGCACATATTAGTACATTCACTTATGATTATTTTTATTAATCGGTGTATTCTACTGTGTCGAATAACAATGTCATCAGTTGTGTTAAGTACCATTAATTGTAAAGCTTTTCTAAAACTTAGCATCCTTCGATCTAAGAGGACTCCTTAAACTGGTGCATTCATACAACCATTGAACAAGCTTTGTACTCTTGACTTGAACTCCAAACAACGAAATCGTCCTATCTGCATTAGAACCATTATTCTCAAGTTTTGGCACTAGGATTCTGATAGGACCTGGCCTGCAAATCAGACAATACTACCAACAAACAATCCACACTCACACGCCAAAATCACAGTTCAATGAAAGGACTATGTTATATTAACCTCAACAGAACAATACAGCCCTATATATAGCTAGTAGTCCTATGTTAGCAATATTCAACAACAAACACTTAGCAAAATAGTGCAAGTACACCAGAAAATGATAAGCAACAGACTGACTTCGAGGGTCAGCCACCTCCCAAATACTGACTTCGAGGGTCAGCAGCCTCCATTCCAATTTACTTTCTAATTCTCAATGCCTTCCCATTTCTCTCCTCCTCTTTTGATTCTGTCCTGTCACCTTTCCGTTCAAACCAAATTCCACCTCATATCATGCCACCTGTTCCACAAATATTCCCTCATAACAAATCCCAACTTCCTAACAAACATTTGGCAGTATTCGTCTACTTCCTACTTCTACCCTTCCTGTGGTACACCAGCTTTGTTGGTTGCTCATCAGATTCATTCGGAGTGGATTAATGGAGTATCGGTATATCATCCTAAAAAATAATATTATTATTATTGTGAACACTGCCTCTTCCTTCCAGCTTAGACCTGAGCATTTTAAAGAGAGGACGCGTAGGATGAGTAACTGCTATGTATCTCTCAATTTGAAGGAATTCCACCTGTGAATCATGAAGTATCAAGGAATTATTTTGGACATCTGTTTATATGGATTTTGCACACAAAGAAAGGACTAAGGAATGCAGTTTAAAATTGATTGCTTTTTTGATCTATTCTCTTTAGAATATCCGATCTAAATTTGCTTGCAATTTTGATCTTCGCCGAGGCCCCTCTAATAAAGCATTTTCGTCATAAAACACAACATTCTTCAATTGGTTTGCCGAGTTGAGTTCTATTTTTACTGCATCTAACTGAGACCAAAAGGAAAGAAGGCTCTAACATTTCAAGCATTTAACCCCAAGGGGTTAGTCGGCGGTCATTTGAGTTTTTGAGTTCAAATCTTAGGATCATCTATCGGTTAAAACAATAATATTATAATTTACCTGATTCTTTGAGTTATAGAGTGTTCAATAGATCCCGGAGATCAGTTGAGATGTGCACAAGCTAATACAACGTATGTTGAATGTTGATACGAATTTCAACTAATAATAGAGCTGCAAGCTATCTCATGGTAGCATTAAAGCATGATAATGCGTTCTCACACGGGAATTTTTTAAGGTTGCTAGAAGCACAAGCTATGAACAAGAATAGTCTCCGCGGTTACAGGAACACTTCACAATACCATCATCACCACCGATTTTTATTACAGATTTTTTGTTTAGTGAGCCTAGTAAACGTAGCCTTTGACAAACATTCCCTTCTTTGCTTCTTCAGACTCTCCCTCACCTGTGTATTTTCCGAGCTGAGCAAGAGAGTTGGCTTTAGCCCGGACAAGCAGGGTTTCCTGAGCCGCCTTTACATTCTCAGGTCTACCTCCCCAAGTCTTCAGGCAAGTGTTCTGAAGGGCTCTTGCATATGAGAACGACACGTGCCACGGGTTGGGAGCTTGGTTCATTGCATTCAAGTTCAGGGTAGCCTCAACTTCAGATTGCCCACCGGACAAAAACTGATCAACCAAAAAAAAAAAAAAAAATTTGTCAATTTAGCATCTATGATTAGTCTAGTTGAATATGTTGTGTGTGTTTGTGCCCATGTCGTAACAAGTTAAGTTCATTAGGGTTATTGGTCACTTGCCATGATTCCAGGCACAGCTGGAGGAATTCTTCTACGTAGGAGACTGAGAGTGTAGTCAGCAACTTGTTTTGGTGTAGCCTTGTCCTTGCACTCAGCACCAGGAGTGACCATGCTAGGCTTGAGAAGGATACCTTCAAACATCACATTGTTCTCAGCCAGGTAGAAGAACACCTCAGCCCACACCTTCTGGGCTACTTCAAAGGTCCTGTCAATGCCATGCTCACCATCAAGCAAGATCTCAGGTTCCACAATTGGGACCAACCCATTGTCCTGCCAAAACCCATATAAAATTTACTCAAAAGAACTCACACGATGAAATAACTTGGATCATGTTATTAATTTCTATATTATTACCTGAGATATGGCAGCATAGCGAGCAAGACCCCAGGCAGCTTCCTTCACTGCAAGGGCAGATGGACCATTGGGAATGCTCACCACTGTGCGCCTATAATCAAATCAAACATGACATGCTGCCAAGGAAATGATAAATGGAAAAAATTGAACAGAATTTGATGAAGAAGTAAAAGATACACACCATTTGGCGAAGCGAGCACCCTGTTGGTAGTAAGCAGCAGAGCGAGATGCAAGGCCATCAAGACCTTGGCACCATGACTCGTCATTTGAGCCAGCCAATGGAACCAAACCCTGTAATATTCATCATCCATCATTCATATCATAATCAGAATTTGAAACTTTGAATTATGTCTATCCGTAGGTAAAATAATAGCAATAAAAGCCACCCACCTTGTCAACTTTAATTCCAGGAACAATGTTTTGCTCCACAAGGACATCAACCATCTTCCTTCCATCAGTGGTAGATTGGTAAAGGGTCTCCTCAAAGAGGATGGCACCTGAAATGTACTGCCCAAGACCTGGAGCTGTAACAAGCAGTGTTCTGTATGCCTGGCGATTTGCCTCTGTGTTCTCTAGCCCGATTGATGCTAGACGTTTTCCACATGTCGCATTTGATTCATCCATGGCCAAGATTCCACGCCCAGGAGATGCAACAGTTTTCTACACCATCCAGTACTTTCTTATAACTAAAATGCTTGTTCCCTACACTAACTAGAATAACACTCTTTTTTCTAAATTGAATATTCTTTATATTGGCACAAAAATAAACCGTTTATATGCTAAAAAGAAAACTTTATATCCTGACATATAAATAATGGAAATGTATTACTGAATTATACTTAACATAACACACTGTATTTGTATTAACTGAGAATTCAAGCCCGGTTTGAAAGAAAGGATAATAAATATGGCATGCACATACCGCAGTCTTGACGAGCTCATCAGCATATGAACCAGCACGCACGGTGAGGCCAGAGGGGGCAACTGGGTGGCACCGGACAACAGATACTGAAGGTTGGCGAAGGGTCTGACCCTTAATCCAATCACTTTTGTCAACGACTGGTGAAGTCTTGAAGAGAGAAGCAGAGGCCATTTTCTTTTGATGAAACAAAAAATGTGTACTGCTCCTCTCTTAGTCTCAACTCCTTATCTCTCCTCAATTAAGCTATTTGTGCTCTCGTTGACTCAATCATTTTACTAAATTCATTGCATTTATAGTTCCAGAGAGTCACTCAGAGATCTCTCTTTTGAGGCTATAATGCATTCACCAATTGTGGAGTGCCAGGTGAGATGATAACTCTCCTACTTGTCACATTGCTTAAGCTGTTCAAATGAGCCACACTTCTTGCAATAAATGGTTGGGTTTTCTCGAATTTGTCTGACCACAATAACTAATTGGTGACCAAAAGAAATATGAGATCTTTTGGGACATGATTGCTGAAGGCTCAGTCACAATGTTTTCCTTCTTTTGCCTATCTGTATCAGAATCAATCACCCTAAAGGCAAGATGTGAACTGTCAGGTTTTTTTTCTTTTTTAATGATCGGGGTGTCTGAGTTCGTTTACATATACCTCAACTAATCTTCAAAACCTATTAAACACTTTATACGTTTACATATACCCCAACTAATCTTCAAAACCTATTAAACACTTTATACATTCAATGTTCTAAGATAAATCATAAATATGATTAATAACCTCAAAGTTGTTCAAACCCAAAAAGTTAATTAAGAGAGTAAATTTTTTTTGCCCCTATGCGAATCTCTTGGTGATTGTGGACTGTCATTTGACCCTAACAAAATTAAATCCTTATTCCAAACACATGTTATGGCATCAAGAAACTTTAAATTTGTATCTAACATCTCGCCCATTAAACTTAAAAAAGACAAAAAAAAAAAAAAAAAAGAAGGCCAAAGTGTAGCTTGTTTTCTGAGTTTATCATATGGCACACATTTTTTTGTGGCTGTTGCCTTGGAAATAGGAAACTATTTGTGACGGAAAAAGATAATGTGATGGCCATCGATTCTAGTTGCTGAATACAAGAGACAAGTAGCGGATATTTGTATGCAGGAAGCTCAAACCAAGACAATCGAAAAATGAAAGAGAATTTTTAACTTACTAGCTCCATGGCCATCTCCAACTGTAGAATCAGAGTGTGACTACATCAAAACGAAGTGCCGTTACATCAATGGCCCATCAGTTTACAAGATCTTAGAAAAATATATTCAAACAAAATGTAACCCCAGAAATAATGTAATAAATTGTCAGAGAATGAAGAAACTGGTAGGAGTTATTTGTGGACAGGGTCCGACACTGGTCCATAAATATTTGAAAGATTAAAAGACTGGAAAATAATTTTAAGGAACCATCCTCAACCACTGAATTGTTCTAGAAACAAAAGTTCTCTTATGCCCATCAATCTAGCCTCACAAAAATTCACCTAAATCTGATAAGTGAGAGAGATTATTCTCCAAAGGTTCCAGAATATTGGTTCAGAATATAAAAAAAAATGAGGAATATATCATGTGATAAATCATGAAATGCTCAACCTACTCTTTTACATCCATTCTCAAAAAAACATAGTAGACAATTTCACAATCTTCCCTTTCTAAATTGGGAGGCCCTAATAATTTCAAGGCTATATGATTAGAAATGTGGCATGGCCTTTTGTAAGAAGACTGCATAACCGATGAAACAATAAGTTAACGAAGAAGATCTTGCTGTCTACTCCAATCTATAATAGCACTTATCTGGCACTACTTAAGATAAGTTGAAGAAACCCAGAGTAGCACATAGGTTATCAGTGACGTTGTCACTTCAAAACTCCTCAATCCTTTAATTAAAGGTATGGGTGGAATCACAGATACCATCAAGAAAGTTCCCAGCAACCAGGAGAAAATAAAAGCTCCAGCACTGCACCATAGCAACAAAGACATGATTCAAACCTTTCACTACTGCAATAATTCAGAATTTGAAATGCCAGGGTTTCATAAACAATGCATTTAAAATCAAGACAGAATGTTGTAACTCTGTAAGACTGTAATCAGCAACCGTAACGTGGAACAACCATGACCTTAGAGACACGTTCACTCATCATAAAATATTAGAAATGATTTAGAAATTTTTACTTTGAAGATTTTTAAATCCCGTATATAAATAAACATTAGGAACATCATAGGATATATTTGACAGATTTAAAAGTAATTAAACAGACATCAGCAACTTACGAATAAAGAAAAGCTCGGAGTTTGCTCTTCAGCCGCTCATTTATGAAGTATATGGTAGCAATCAGAGACAAGGCTACCTGAAGAGTTGGGCCTTCTTCAGTTGGAAAGAGTACAGTGAGAGCCCCAAGCACTACAAAGGCAATGGATGTTTTTATGATGATTTTTGTTGATGGAGTTTGGAACCTGCTCATGACAGCCTGCACAACACGAGACTGATGGACTTCCCTTACCTTTTTTTTCATGTCAATTTTTGGATTCTTCCTTTCATAAAACTTCTGCATTATTATTTTGTCATGGGCAGATTCAATAGCATCTAAACTTGGTTTGTGCCCTGCATATTTCTGAACAAGGAAGGACCTTGCAGCTTGAATTTCATCTTCAGAAGCCTCCCGGCTTATTCCTAGTCTTTTGTATGGATCCCGAACATTAATTCTAGGGAAGATATCTGAACTTGGACAGGAAGATAAGAAGAGAGTCTTAGAAAGTGCACGTGAAAGTTGTAACAGTATCAATAAAAAATAAAACATATTACCAAAGAGGATCACTAACAAGAGTACAGAAATTAAGAGTTATAGAATCCTACAAGCATATATTTGATAGGAAACACCAAAAGGAGGGGGAGGGTCGGGTCATATACATGATTTAACATGAATTTATAAATTGAAATGTTAACTTTTTTATCATTAACTATGGGATAATGCAAGAAGAACAGAAAAAAACAAGTAGTCATATAGGACCCAAAAAGTGGTCCAAGTTAAAAGTTCTTATGGATAAACCTTGTGCTTAAGGGAACAGGGCAATACCCATAAGTCCACAATTATTTTATGAGCACATAAGCATGATGGAAGGGGGTCTAGATAGAGACACTCACGTCATTTCAGATGTGCAGCTAAAGTTACCGTTATGGGCTTAATCACTACTACAACGGAATCAGTTGAATCTACGTACCAAATCACTCTCACAGGTGAAGAGCATATATCATCCAATAAGTGAAATCTTACATCTTTATTTACAACTGATGAGTTCACAAATGCTTCCACCGGCCATTACTCATGCATTAAACAATATCACGCATTTCATTAGTAAAGAGTGCTTTCAACAAAGACCAACAAACTAATGTATCTCAAGAAAGTAAACTGGCTAGCCTAATATTACTAGCAAACTATAGACATAATTTCACCATAAAATAAGAATCAAATTGGCCTATTAAACATGAATATTTGACCAGGATTCTATAACGATGGCCTTGCAATGAAATTTTCTGCATTTCCCCATGTCAATTATGCAGTTGTCAATGAATCATATATTGATTGAATTTTTTTTTTTTTTTTTTTTTTTTAAATTGAAAAACTACAAGATAATGCAAGAAGCAGGAACAGAAAAGGCTACTAGGCATATAAGACCCAAAAATTGGTTCAACTTAGTTAAAGTTCTTATGCATAAACCTCGTGCTTAAGGGAAAAGGACTGTATCCATAAGTCAACACTTATTTTATGAGCACATAAGCATGAGGGAAAGGGGTTCAGATAGAGACATTCATGTCATTATATGCAGCTACATTTACTGTTTGTGGGCTTAAATTACTCCTAGAATGGAATCTGTACAATCTATGTACCAAATCACTTCCACAGGTGAAGGGCATATATCATCCAATATGTAAAATCTTACATCTTCATTTACAATGGGTGAGTTCACCGATGCTTCCACCATCCATTACTCATGCACTAAACAATATCATGTATTTCATTAGTAAAGACTGGTTTCAAGTTTCAACCAAGACCAACAAACTAATGTAACTCAAGAAAGTAAAGTTGCCAGCCTAACGTTACTAGCAAACTGCAGACATCAAATTTTGCCAGAAAATAAGGATCAACTTAGCCTACTAAACGTGAATATTTGACCAGGATTCTGTAACCATGGCCTTGCAACGATTTCTGAGTTGACTATAGGTCCCTATATTAATTATGCAGTTATCAATGAATCATATATTACCAGTTGATCCATTTGACGTATCACCATAAGAAGCACCCATTGTACACTTGATCGTGTGAGTTTGCTGTTTCTTGCATCCTTGAGCAGAACCAAACCAATAATTTCTGTATGATTGCAAGAGGGGAAAAAATCATGATCGAGACAACCACCATTTGTTTTTTCCTTTTGCCAGGAAATATAGATATTATATTAACCATGTATACAAGAAAAAGATAGTTACTTCAGCCTGTAATAATTAAGCAGTACCTTTCTAGACTGGGTATTGTAATCTTATCTTTAGGTTTCCAAGAGCTAGGGAAAGCTGAAACCCTCTTCAGTGAACCCAGGCCACCTACAGGTGTCCTAAGACAACATCTTGATGGACTACCCATCAATCCATACACAAACATTGTAACTCTACTTTAGAAGTTCACTGCTAAAGCTCAAATTACTTGACAGACAACGATAAGAGGCTGCAACAGAAACAAATAAAATAATAAAGATAAAATATCAATCAACTGCAGTATTATGATTCATTTTTTTATTAAAAAAAATGAAAATCATCACGGTGACACCTACAATAAAATTTCAGAGGGAACAAGATAAACTTGTGGCAGAAAAAAAAGAGTGATCTTCCACAACATTTCTCTTCCTTGAAGAAAAACATAAGAATGTCGACACCAAGCAATTGAATTCTCGTCTATCAGCCAACAAACATTTCACTTCTCTAAAAAAAAAAATTAAAAAAAAAAAAAAGTTATTCTGTTCTTTCACAGACTTACTTTAACAATGAATATGAGGTTTTCATGAATTTCCAAACATGATTACAGAATTAAAACATTTTATTTTGCAAGTCCTCTTCCAAACACAACCATAGTTAACAACATACAGCTGTTTAGTTGAAGAGTATCAATTGCGCCCCAATTGCAATGCCAACAAGTTGTGTTCCACAGAGGTAGGTAAAAAACGAACCACTAAAAGAACTCTTTTGAGACCCTTTTGAATCAAAAGGCATATAAGACATTCAGGTCTCTAGATGAACTTGCCCATACAACCAATTGAAATTCATTCATATCACTTGCCTATACAAATCTTGATTTAAGAATAAAAAGCGCTTAGAACAATCAATCAATTGACATTTACGATTTTCAATCAAGTTTTGCTTTTCTAAGTGACATAAAAAATAATAATAATAATAATAATTTAAAAAAAAAAAAAAGGGATAAAATAATAAGAAGAAAACATCATACCTTATATGATTGAGAGTGGTACTGTCTTAACAAACGGATAGAAGAGAAGGCAGAGTGAGGGGTTAGCGAAAACACTAAACCCTGCTTGGACCAGAGCAGCTGCCGGACTAATCACCAAGGATATAATACACTGCGTTTCTGCCTACTACCTCAGCCTTTAGCTAGACTGGACTCTCCTTGGACAAAATACAAGAAATTGAGAAAAGATGTGCTTCCGCAGAAAAACTGACATTCAAAACGGTGCGTTTTGAGATATCAAAGCGGTGCGTGCCTTTCGCTGGGAAAAAGAAAATTCCGTTGCCGGGACTTGAACCCGGGTCTCTCGGGTGAGAGCCGAGTATCCTAACCACCTAGACTACAACGGATTACTTTCTAGAAGCTACTTACATTTAGTTTTGAGTTAAAGATTTTGGACCCCCATATGGTTTATGCTACCAATAATACTATACTTACAGTGAAATTTTACAAAGATTTCCATATACAGTGAGGTGGTCAAAAATGAATAAAAGAGTGAAATAAAAAGCCAAACTTATTAAATTCACTATTCTGTTTATTTTTTGTCACATTACTTTGTATAGAGATCTTTATAAAATTTCTTTATAAATGTAATATTACTCTTCTATTATTATGTAGTATTTGGTATTTGTGACGTAATTCTGATTTCCTGTCATAAATTGTTAATTTAGACGAGGGAACAGAATTTAGGCTATGAGGTGGGCAGTACTCAAAGTAGTAAAAGTGTTTTGAACCACGTGGTAATTTAAGCGAATCATGGTGCCAATTTCAAATTTTCAATGTATCTTCATCATCTATGCGACTTATGTTGCATCTCCATCATGAATGTATACGCATCTTCAACCCCTTTTGTCATCTTCTACCACGCCACTGCCCAAAACTCACCATTTCCCTTGTTCTTTCTCCTATCACATTACCAACGTACTTCACTCAACAAGAAGAAGTGAAATTAAAAATGGACCACANTTTAGGTTTTGAGTTAAGGATTTGGACCACCATATGGTTTATGTAGTATTTGGTATTTGTAAAGTAATTCTGATTCCCGGTCGTAAATTATTAATTTAGACGAGGGAACAGAATTTAGGCTATTAGGTGGGCAGTACTCAAAAGTAGTAAAAGTGTTCTGAACCACGTGGTAATTTAAGCGAATCATGGTGCCAATTTCAAATTTTCAATGTATCTTCATCATCTATGCGACTTATGTTGCTTCTCCATCATGAATGTATACGCATCTTCAACTCCTTTTGTCATCTTCTACCACGCCACTACCCAAAACTCACCATTTCCCTTGTTCTTTCTCCTATCACATTACCAACGTACTTCACTCAACAAGAAGAAGTGAAATTAAAAATGGACCACACCCATCATGCTCTGTTCACTGCACCATTTACTATTTACTACATAGCAAACCAAAAAAACAAAAAACCTTAACTGGAGTGTTCAGGTTAACTTACATTCATTTTAACTAATTCTCAGAATCCATTGAATATTCTACAAACCCAATAAATCAGGTTAAATACAATTACACATTGAGATAAATGACTCTAAGGCTGAACCCAGAAAGTCTAAGGAATAAAACACACATCTTTGACCATCAGACAATCAGTTAAGAGGGCATTCTTACATGGTCCATTTCCCTGTTATTTTCAGGCTTTTCTCGTTGCTGTTGTTGACAATACAAAATGCCACTGACAGTCAACAGTAACTGCAAACTAAGTAGTAAGTACAATCACGGAAATACCATATGATTGATTATCTGATTATAGGTGTAGAACAGCTGCTAAACCACTATTTTAATACTTAATGTTGGGTATAATTCTAAATACATTAATAGAGACAAAAAGAAACGCCACCCCTAGACTGAAACTCACTGCTTGGTCTAATGGATATGATAGTAAGAGCCAAATAGGATACAGCCACACCTAGTCAGATTCCTCTGCCCTTTTCTTACTTTTTCTTCTTAAACTTCTCATTGTAAACTCTTTTCACCTTACCTACTGTTACTTCAAACCTTATTTTTTTTTTTTTTTTTCTCTTTCTTCAACAATGTTTTTGAAGCTATTCTTGTTAGTTTTATTGCTGGAAAGAGCAAATTGTTGGGTTACTTCAAACACGTCTAATGAGTTGATTGCAGTTGAAAATGCATACGTGGAGTGGGTTAGACAGCGGGCTTCCATGAAGCAACCTGTTTTTCAGGAAGGAAAGAAAAACCTCAAGCCTTGTAGAATCATTAAAGTTAACAAGAACCCCAAATTTGGAGAGTTTGCTACAGTGCAAAAAGCCATCAACTCGCTTCCAGTTGTAAATCTCTGCCGGGTTGTCATCTACATTAGTCCAGGAACTTACAGGTGATTAATGAGTTTGTCTTAATTAATATATATATGTATCACTACAGCACTTTGGTTTACATATCCTGAAAACAGTATTTTGATTGAAAAAAATGTTATTCTTGCTTAGTAAAATTTTTAGTTCTGTTAAATTAATTAGAGAGAAGGTTGAGATTCCTGCGACCATGGCGTACATTACCCTGGTAGGTGGTGGTGCAGAGAGGACAGTAATAGAGTGGAATGACACAGCAGATCGAATGGGGCGGAGTGGTCGTTTACTGGGTACCTTTGCTTCAGCAACATTTGGTGTTAACTCTCCTTACTTCATCGCTAAGAACATCACCTTCAAGGTTACCAAACCTTTTCATCTTACGCTTGCATTTCTCACCATTTTAATCCTGAGATAAAGTTTCTATCACCAGTAAATGATATGCATTATTTTCCTTTTTCGCCATTCATTCTTCAAACCTCTGTTTAAGAAGTTTTCTATATACAGAGTCCTTAAAGAAATTCTGGTGTTGTACTACAGAATAAGGCACCATCACCACCATCAGGAGCTCTAGGAAAGCAAGCAGTGGCATTTCGAATCTCAGCAGACAGAGCAGCGTTTATAGGTTGCAATTTTATTGGAGCACAAGATACACTTTATGATCACTTGGGCAGGCATTATTTCAAGAACTGCTACATTGAAGGATCGGTGGACTTTGTATTTGGAAACGGCCTTTCCTATTATAAAGATTGCCACTTACATGCTATAACCAACAGCTATGGAGCTTTAACGGCCCAAAAGAGGGACAGCTTGCTTCAGGAAACTGGATTTTCATTTGTGAATTGCAAGGTTACAGGGTCAGGTGCCCTCTACTTGGGCAGGGCATGGGGCACTTTCTCTAGAGTGGTATTTGCTTATACTTACATGGACAAAATCATCACCCCTAGAGGATGGTACAATTGGGGAGATAAGAACAGAGAAATGTACGTTCCTTTATCCTTCTTCAACACTTACATTTGCACACATATAAATTGAAATTCTCGCTATAAAACCCAATCAACAAATGATCAAATTCATTAGAACTGCTGTTGCTTGTGTTTAGATGACTAAAATTTATTGCAATGTCACTTGCCATGCAGGACTGTATTTTTTGGACAGTACAAGTGTTCGGGACCAGGAGCAGATTATGAAGGGCGAGTGCCATGGTCTAGGGAGCTCACTCAACAACAAGCTCAACCGTTTATTTCAATTGATTTCATAGACGGACATGAATGGATTCAGCTGTAAAACTGTAATTCTTATTCTCAGCTTAAATACCAAAGCCGTTCAGAATCTGAAAATATTTGCTAGAATTTTCAAGCTCCATCATACCTCGTCATATTTCAGGGTTTCTCTCTCCGTTTTCGTATTGATTCTAATTAAAAGTTTGTTTTTCTATTTTAGAAAGGATAATGTTAGATCTATAACTCAATCTCACAATCTTCTCTCACTATCTCCAATATAACAATTCGCAATTGATCAGCTCACAAATAGGTGCAATTGATCAGCTCACAAATGAACAGGCAAGACCCATTTACGAGTCGACTAATTACGAGCTACCACATCAGAGATTGCGAAAGAATGTAAATGTTATGAGATTAGATTGTAAACCTAATATTACTATTTAGGAAATCTAAAAAGAAATCATAAACCAATATTTCTGATTTAAGAATTTTTTGCACATAGTCCTATACACACGTGAAGCATTAGACCAAAATAAGATGAAAGTTGAGTTAGAAAATGGTTCAATCGATTAAACAACAGAAAAATAAGATAAAAGTTAGATTAGAAAAACAACCACAAAAGCCAATGAAGTAGAGCCGAAAAACTTCCTGCATAACTTCAATTAGTATAAAATGATAACCAAGAAGTTAATGGAAGACACTAGCAAAAGCCACCAATCAATAATTCGTATGACATAATAACCTGAAAGTAAACAGAAAACCACAAGCGAAGAAGCTTCCACCGTGATCACTCAGGGCAGTGGCAAAGCCAGATACAAAAATTTTGAGAACTAATAGTATACTTTGAGTCAGCCTCAAAGATCATTGCCAAGGGTGATAAAAAATAACTAATAAAATTCTACAAGGCATATATACAATTAGTACAAGATGTGAAATCAAACATACATCTGAGGCTGGTTGATACTGACAATAAATGAACCACACATTATGCACGCCTTTTACTCAACCGCCAAGAATTAGGCTCATGGTATCTATCATATAGTGGTTCAATGCGTTCTTGACGCTTGCGCTTGCTCATTTTCGTGGGATCTGAAACCTTGAAGAATCTTGGTGCCAGTTCCACAAGCCACTTTGGATCTATAACTGTTACTTCACGCATGTACTCTTTTGTAGTCATGACAAGTTCATGGTAGATGACCCAATCAGGTTGTCTCTGAAAGAGAGAACTGCTTGGGTGGATATAAACAGGCTGATTCTCAACCAGAGTCCGATAGCCCTCCTGTGGATCCTTTCTGGAAGCATGAAAGAAGAATCCAGCTGTAATCGCCTTCCGTATCTTCGTAAAATTTTTTCCAGCACTCACAATGTCCAATTTATATCTGAAACAAAGAAGTTTCAAGTAAGATATGCACTAACATAATCCACCCATAGTACAAAGATAACATTTATGCATAAGCACATAAAGGGAAAGATGTTATGACTGAAACCAGCCCTGAGAAATTAAGCGAGAGAGAGTAGAAGGGAAGAAGAAGGGGAGAAGAGAAGAAATAGGAAGGAGAATTCTGGAGAATTTTGTATTAACCCATCAATGAATCTCTTTACAGGCGTTAGTACACATGGTGGTTCCTTAGTGACACCCTCTAACCAACTACAGCTGATAGCTGGCAGTGCCTAGGGATCTAAAGGGGTATAACAAACTCTTTTAGAAATTATGAAAAACATAGCAGCCAAGAAAGCATCACTAATTTGCCTTTGCCTTTCCCCTTCTTTTATACGTAACAAAAGAGTTCTGGTTTATTCACTATAATGCAGGTAGTCTACGATTATCATTTCATAGTTATTAAAGAATAACAAAACTTGATACAGGTTCCACAAAATTCCATCCAACAAACAACAGCTAGGATTCAAGCATTACTATACATAATTACCAAGCCTTATGCTATTATTTACAGTCCATACAACATTATCTAATGATAGCTATACACTGATTGATATGGATAGATGAGAAGAAACAGAAAGTACATACAGAAAATCATCCAGAGGCTGGCCATTTCAACTAAATAAACTAAATGGACTGAGTGAAAAGCATAAAGAGAGGAAATCAAAATCTAATTGAGTAAATCCAAGAACATTCTTTCTGCCAAATATACATGTTGCCACAAGATTTAATCTTTGCACAACATGCTGCTTAAGATGACCAACTTGTATAAGAGAAATCCACCATGGACCCAAACACAATAAAAGTCAAGAAGCCATATTTACCACTCAGGTGCATCCAAAACCAAAGTTAGAGTTGACAAGATCACCATATAATAATTAAATTACTAAGATAAACAAATTCCGGTTACTAAGCCTTCATCTCAACCACTATTTACTATAATTCTAATAGTACACCCAAGAGAATCTATGATGCTTACTGGTGTACCAACCAGATAAATAGTTAGACACTAAGCACAAAACTTAATGACACTTAACAACCAATAGCAGATGAATAACACCAATCATGTAATTACCTTTACCACCTATATTAATATTGCAGAGCAAATTAGAAAGAATTATTCCACTTAATCTACCAAGAGACCTAGAAAGCAATATGACAAATTTTAAATATCATTACAACAAAACTGCAGCAATTAAAGGAATAGATCATCGCAAAATACAAGAGTTGAAACAAATGTAAAGTTGAAACTATAAGAACTTACTTATCCATGATGCTGAGAAGTTGCTTTCTGACATCCTGTGCTCTCCTCAGGGATCGGGACTGAACAAAGTTCTCAAAGCACCATGGCCCTGAAAAATTCTTAGCTTTCCATGCCTCATACACAGCTAGCAACGTCAAATGATCTCCCTCAGGCTGAAAAAATTTTGCCCTCTTCTGGTCTGCTTGAGCTTGTTTTTCCCTAGGCCTGTAGAATATGTTGCCAGTTTGAATCATCGCAATGATAGTCAATATCTCATCACTACATCCAAGGTCCACACTGGCAAGCAACATCTTTGATAAAGGTGGATCCAGAGGAAATTCAGCCATTTTCCTACCCAATTTTGTCAGAAGTCCCTCCTCATCCAGAGCTCCAAGACTATACAGCTGCTCCATGGCAGAGATAAGAGCTTGGGGTGAAGGTGGATCCATAAAATCAAATGACAAAAGATCATTTATTCCCATAGCCTTCATTGTAAGGGTAGTAAATCCAAGATTGATCCTTTGAATTTCTGGAATTGAAGTAGGCGACATCTCATTACGATATGCACTCTCTGTGTATAGGCGGTAACATTTTCCAGGCCCAGTACGGCCAGCACGTCCAGCTCGTTGCTTGGCTGATGCTTGTGAAATTGGTGTTATGACCAGCGAATCAAGCCCTTGCTTTGGATTATAAACATTCTGTTTTGCAAACCCGGGATCAATAACATAAAATATTCCATCAATAGTCAAAGAAGCCTCAGCAATATTAGTGGCCACAACCACTTTTCTCTTTCCTGGAGGAGCAGGGTCAAAGATTCTTGACTGCATTTCACTGGGGAGGGCACTGTAAACTGGTAAAATAATCAGTTCCGGAACATTTTTACCTAAACCTTTCATCCTCTCATAGAGAGACTGACATGCAAAATCAATTTCCTCCTGACCAGTCAGAAAGAGGAGGATATCACCTTCCGGTTCTGTCAAGTGGATCTGCAGGACAGTGATCAGTGATGCATCTAGATAATCGCTTTCTGGCTGTTTGGTGTATAGTATTTCAACAGGAAAAGTTCTCCCAGGAATTGTAAAAATGTTGCAGTTAAAGAAATACCCAGAAAATTTCTCTGCATCTAATGTGGCAGAGGTGACAATCAGACGAAGATCTGGTCTGCGCTTCACAAGCTGCTTAAGTAACCCAAAAAGGACATCAGTGTGGATTGTCCTTTCGTGAGCTTCATCAAGCATAATGACTGAATATTGAGAAAGATTGTCATCGATCAGAATCTCCCTAAGAAGCATGCCATCAGTCATGTATTTGATGACAGTGTCTGGTCCGGTACAATCTTCAAATCTTATAGCATATCCAACCTCCTCCCCCAAACGACAGCCAAATTCTTCAGCAACTCTCTTGGCCACAGACATTGCAGCCACCCTACGGGGCTGTGTACAACCAATCTTACCTCTTGTAGTGTAACCAGCCTCTGCAAGATACTGAGTTACTTGGGTAGTCTTACCTGAACCTGTCTCACCAATAACTACCAGAACCTGATTATCATGCACAGCCTGAATTAGTTCCTTCTTCAATTTATAGATTGGTAAGCTCTGCCTCTGGTCCTGGATGGAGAGCTTTGACCTCTGCCCAAAAGTTAATGCTTTCCCAAATGCATCCTTCTTCCATTCAGGCATGTCATAAGCTGATAAACCAACACCCCTAAGCTCCTGTGCTAGATGCCTCTCACCAGTCTCTGGCATTGGGTCTTCCCAAGGACGATTCAGATCCTTTGGTATTGAATCAAGCATTGTCCTCTGCTGTTGTTCCCGGACTTCTCTCCGCTCCTTTATGAGAGCAGATTGGAGAGCAGCAGCACGGCTCAATGACCCCTCTGGATTCTTGAAAATTTTCACGGGTGACATGTCCACAGAATACCTGGTTTGCCCGTTTAAAAATGCAGGTTCATCCTCATTCAGTTCAATCTCAAGCTCTTCCTCAGCACCCTCTTCCTGATAAACTATCCCATCCCCTTCTTCATCATACATAGGGTACTCATTCACAGATAAAACCCCCGAAGCAATCAACTGTTTTGCTTCCCATCTCTCTGGGGAGCTCATTCTCTTCAATGGCCTGCGTGATGGAACTGCATCCTCCTCCTCCACAATTCTAATCCCTGAAAGACCTGTCCTAGACATTGGCCCATCTTTTGACCCCGAAGGATTAATCCTTGATGCATCATCCTCACTCTTCTTCAATGGAAGCAAGTCCTTACCAGTATTCTGATCAACATCCCTCATAGAAAGACTCAACTTCTGACCAGACACCGAAATCACCTTCACATAAACCTCCTGATCCCGCTTTACAACATCTTTAGCATTACTAATCCTCCTGGTTGCCATCTGTGAAACATGAACCAAACCCTCCTTGCCCTTGAAATCACTCAGTTGAACAAAACAACCCGTGTCCATCACTCTTGATACTCTCCCCCTATACACGTTATACAATTCAGGCTCATCGTACCTGTACCGTCCAGCTCTCCTATCTCCATCATCATGATTCTCCCTATCAGCCCCATTCTCTTCATAATCATCATAATCATGTCTACTCCTCCTCTCACGCCTGTCTCTATCCTTGTGCCTTCTACTCCTATCACCATCATCATAATCTCTGTCTCTATGTCTATCTCTATCTCTGCCTCTACCATCTCTATCTCTATTTCTATCTCTATCTCCATCTCTATCCCTCCTGTCTCGTTCTCCGTCCCTCCTATCTCTGTCTCTGTCTCTACGCCTATATTCATCTTCCCTTTCCTCATTCTCCCTGTGCCGCTCACGAACTTCCTCTTCCATCTCTCTCTCAAGTTCTTTGACTCTATCTTTACCATCAGCAATCGCGAGAGCTTTGAACTTCGATTTCTTACCATCACCACCAATCTCTTTCTTTACATCCTTATCCGATTTTGGCTTAGGAGGAAGAATCGCGTGAATAATAGTCAATAATGTGCGTACAAAGTAATCGGGCATTTCAGCACCATTTTCTTTCAACTTAGAATCAAATTCCTCAACAGTTTCACAATTACGACCTAACTCGGTGATAAACTCGGCTAAAACTTTGTCTCCAAACCCTAAATGTGTTTCTAACTCGGAACAAACTTTAGAGACAAGAGAGAAATATTCTAATTTCTTAAGACTATCGTCTCCGGTGGGCGGATCCATTGTGGTTAGCAATATATAAAACAGATTTTTTGAAAGTTAGGGTTTTTCGAGTACCTGATGGCCGAGGTAGAGAATTCGAGAAATCTGCCACACAATAAGACGGCCAAAAAACGTTGCAGGGGATGTCGTTTTGAGCTATCAGCGAGGATGGTTAGTCGGCTTATTAGAATGGTAAAATCAATCGATAGGGATTGCGAAAACTAAAAGTAACGTTTGGATCATTACTTTTTTTTTTTTTTTTTTTTTTTTTATCTCGGTAATAACATTATTGAAAGGAAAGATTACATTAGAGATTTAAATTATTATTGTGTTTTGTTGTTTTGTTCAATTAGAATCTATTAATAATTAATATGTTTAATTGACAATAATAACAGATATTCTAAAATATCATTTTACAATGATGTCCTTAGGATGATTACTTGTATTATTAATTAATCTATTGGGTTGGTTGTAAGAACATATGTCTTAATTACATTTTACCAAAATACCCTTTAGATGATTACTGGGTATAAATAATTAATGTATTTGGTTAATAAAATAAATGATCAATTAACAAAATTCTTTTTCTTATATTTTAGCCAATTATTTTATTGTTAAGTCATTGTCAGGAGCAAAGAGACGAAGACCTGAGGTTGTTGCGGCGAAGATGGTCGACCAATGGCAGAGGGAAGAGGGAGAAGTTAGACTAACGAACGCAAACAAAACAGAAAATGAAAAATACAAGGGAAAGATGGTGAGGGACTTACTGGAAATGGCGAATGGAGTGTTGTCCGAATCAAACAGAGGGGACGAAGACACAAGGCGCTGCGACAAAGATGGTCAACCAACGGCAAAGGCAAGAGCGAGATCTTAGACTAACGAACACAAAACAAACCCAAAATGAAAAATACAATAGAAAGAGGACATTTGACTTATCAAAAAATAGCGATCGGAGTGATGAAGTTGCGAATAAGATTAAGAAGAAGAAGACTAGTGGTGGCAATGGAGGTTTAAGGCAGAGTCTCAATCGAAATGTGTATTACGGCTGAGAATTTTTTCCTTTTTATATTGTAGTTTTAGTGAAATAAAAAGGCATATTAGTCACAATATGCAAATATGTGAGGATAATATGGGCACACCAATATTTCGTGGTATTTATGAAAATATTGATAATAAGCACGGCAATTTTGTCTGAAAAATTATAAAACCGAGGATAAATCCGTCTTCTTGTGTAAATTGGGTGTTTTGTAATTATTAACAAAGCCAAAGATATTTTTGTCCACATTGTCCACTGTTTTGGAGCAAAATTGAATATAAATTTAAATTACCGAAGTAATATTTTAATAACACTCTTCCTCTAGGTAATATTATTCCCAATGATGTACTCCCAATTTGACACTGTTTGACTTTTTTTTTTACGGAATGTTTTTTAACAAAACAACCAAATATGATTGTCAAACCAATTTAAAATATACTACCCTGTTATATAATATCAACCCGATTCAAACTGCCCCAAAGATGTAAATTCGGCCGGGTGAATAAACCCATCACTGCGGTAAGTCATACTGGCCTACTGGACCTATTGGATCTAACATGTTGAACAAGACTGCACAACACACCACTGAATTGGGCTTATAACAAAGCCCCAACCTGTATTAAATTCTGGCTGATGTTGTTTCAATTAAACAAAGTGATTTTTAGCCTGTCTAATTGACACGACCCCCTATGGCTAAGTATATCTATTTTATAATTTAAAAAAAAAAAAAATTTCTTTAAACTCTATTTAATACTGAAAATAACCCTTAATTAGGTTTATTTTTCCCAAATCAAACTTAGTTAGGTTTTATCTTTACACCTTTTTTCCCCCGATTTCTTAAGTTCAACTTAATTTCTCTTATTTAGATTCATATTTATCCCGTTATGTAATTACTTTTTCCATGGTTTTAGTATTATATTTTTATCAAATAAACAAATATTTAAAATAAAAATAAAAGGTTTCAATGATTATGAAATTTAAGATTAGGTTATAAAAATTTAGTGTTAGGGTTGATGTAAGATTTACTGTTAAAAATTAAAACTAAAATATAAATAGAATATAAGTGTAATTAGAAATTATAATGTTATTTCCAGTAATTTAAATTAAGGATAAATTTGTCAAAACAAAAAATAAATTTAAAAGTGAGAGATGAAGATCAATTGTACAGAGTCTAAAAATCACCTCCTTTTAAATTGGTTATTGCTAATCCGTAATCATATAGCACACAAAGATTGTTTTCACTTCTCGAGCTTAGTTTGAGATTGTTTAGCTTCTTCTTTGATCACTTTTAAGTATTAACCTAACTTTATAAATAATCAATTTTTGATAAAAGTTTTTAGGTGTTTGTTTTGTTAAATTTTAAAATCGTTTTTACTTTTGAAAAACTATAGATGTCAAATGTAAAATGAGCAAAATATGTTTATTTTTTAAATAAATTTTTTTCATCATGAAAATATATTAAAATTTTTTGTATATACATAAATTAAAATTTAAAGAGTAATACTAGCCTTACTCACCTTTGTAAATATAAAGTATAATACGAGTATTATATGTTATTTTAATAAAATTGAGAAAGAGAAGTGAATAGGAAAAGTAAATAAGGCTAACATTTCTCAAATTTAAAAGCATTGTGCATCTGATCGGAGAGTCGGTGGACGTCATCTTCGGAGAGTCTAGCGACACCTCCAGCTTTAGCTCGAGCAGTGAATACGTGTTTCACCAATTAAAATAACTTCTTGTGAATCTTGTCATATTGTTGAGATTCATCGTACCATTATTATTAGTTTATAGTTTATTACCATAACGACTTCTTTTATAAAAACAAAAAAAAATAAAAAAAGGTTGCATAACATTGTGGATGAACAGAAAGAAGAGTACAAGACGTGAAATTGCAAAAAAGACCCGCAGAGCAAAACGAAGTACATTGGATCTTGGAAGTTGAAAGTCATAAAGTAAAGGGTGTGGTATAATGGGGTATGGCCGTATGGCCCATGCCACTCAAAATAAATACACAGGACTAGACTGCGATGGATTCTACAGTCTCATCTAAATCCCAATAAATGACATTTGCCTNTTTTTTTATTTTTAATTTTAGAAATAGTTTTTAAATATTAATTGAAGCTATTTCCGCAAATCATTTAAGCAATAATTGAGCAATTAAAACTCCATAATATTTGATTATACTAACTTTTCAGCTGTGCATAATATGTTATGGTGAAATCCACTTTTATAAGTTGAACCAAACTCATCTAACTCATTTAAAGGCAATTTTAAAACCTTCAATATGGGATAAAAATTGAGGTTATGGTTTGGGAAAAATAGATATATATAGGATAATATTGTAATTAAATATATAGTATAAGGGTAAATTAGTAAAATTAATACTAAAATTTTCGGGTCGGGCCTAAAGATGTACCCATGCCCGGCCCGTACCCAAGGTCGGGCCTTAAAATCAAGCCCAGGCCCAGGCCCAAGCCCGCCAACCTCGGGTAAAGCCCGCCCCTTTCGGGCCGGGCTGGGCCGGGTACCCGAAAATGTCAGGCCCATTGCCATCTCTACTGACAAAGCGGGCAAACTTGATGAGTACGAGACGAGTCCAACGTGTATAGCTCAAAATAGATCTGTTTTAAATAAGTCCAAGGCTCCGTTTGGTTGCCAATTGGGAATACTTCTTTTAGTATTCCCAAAAAAGTTAAACAGTAAAATACCCAAAAACTTTGATTTTTAGAAATACTACTCCCAATATTATTCAACTTTTTTTAAACCCCTTAAATTTGATAATTTAATTAAATACCCCTAATTTTTTTTTAAAAATTACTAAAACACCCTAGTAATTCATATTTACCAGATTCCGGCCACCACTGCCGGAAAATAGCCGGAATCTGTTAGGATGGCGCACTACTGGCTGAATCTGACCGGTAGTAAAGGCCAGATCTAAGGCCAAAGATCTGGCCGTTGACGGCCAGATCTTTGGCCGTAACGGTTTATAACGACGGCCAACAAACGGTCGTCGTTGACCATCAACGATGACCGTTTGTTGGTCGTCGTTGACGAGAAAATACGGCCAGATCTGGCCGTAGATCTGGCCTTTGCCGGCCAAATCCACTGTGGATCTGGCCGGCAAAGGCCATATCGGCGCACGACCGGCAAGATCCAGCCGGTCATGCGCCAATACGGTGAACCCACCCTCCGGCGATGGTGGCCGGCTGTCCGTATTTGACATTAGGTTGGGGGTGTTTTTGTTAACTTTTAAGATTTTATTATAGGGGGTGTTTTGTAAATAAACAAATATAGGGGGTATTTTATTAATTTATAAATCCTACATCGTAATACCCGCCCAATTCAACTTTTTTTTAACTTTTTTCAGAAAACTTTTCCCAAAAACACCCAATTGTGAACCAAACGAAGCCCAAGATTTTGGACCCGTATCCTACCTTATGCAGGTACAGGTGGACCCGCAGATACCCATATTATTCACTCTAGTTTTCAATTTTTACAATTACACCCCATAATTTGTAGTTTTTATTTTTTACAGTTACACCCCCACAATTTAACTCAACCTGTTTCTTACAGAAATTAATAGATGCTTCACTCTTACTTAAAGTTATCTCATTACTCATTAGTTTATCAAATAACCAAGGTAATAACAATATCTTTATCAAAAATTTATATTACAATAAAAATTTTCTCATAACTCAATCTTACAAACTTTTTCTAATAACCTCGACATGACAACTCGCAATTGGGTAGATAGGACCCATAACAAGATGACTAATTACAAATCATCTCGGGGTTGTGAGAGAAAGTTTGTGAGATTAGATTATAAGTCTCAATCAAATATGGCAAAGTCCATTTAAGGAATGGTGAATGGGGAATACCTTAAGACGAGGCAACTGTTTGTTTTATAATTTCTCTTTTCTCTGGAGCACAAGCTGCCCATATGCATCTCAGTCCAATCTCCATCATCAATTTAACTGGTTTTTTAAACATAAACAGAAGGGTTGATATTCATAACAGCAGCAGTTTCACTCAACTTTCATAAAATAGACTATTACACTAG